TCAAAATATCCTTGGGCCTCTTAACAATATACTCCATTCCAAAGGCCAAAAATATCAAAAGTATTTGGGAGCTTTTATCTAATCCTTAAAAGATTTTAGGGTTACCTCTTTAGAGGGGGGAAATGTTAGAGTAGTCAAGAGCCCCATAAAAATAAATAAATCAATCAATCGAAGAAGAAAGTACACGAAATTATCAGAAAAAAGTAATGGGGAGATATGGGAGGAGGTGGAGGGGAGGGAGTGGGCATGGATTTGGTCAAAACACCTTATATGCATGTATGAAATTCTCAATAAATTATTTATTTAAAAAAAACAAAAATAACTTAAAATGTTAAATGGTTCAAGCAAAACACATCTATGAATTTTTGTCTTCATTGTTGAAATAGGGTCTCATACGTCCCAGGCTGGCTTTGAACTTACTACGTAGCCAACAACAACCTTGAACTCTTTTACTCTTTTCCTCTTGCTTCCACCTCCCTAGTGCTGGGATCACGAGTAGCACTATGTACAGTTTATGTGGTACTGGGGATTGAACCCAGGACATCACACATGCCAAGCAAGCAGTCTACAAACTGTGCTACATCTCCAGCTCCTGTGAGTGAACCATTTTATATTTTTCAGTTTTTCGATTTTTTTTTAAGGGGGTAAATGTTATGCCTGCATGTTTGTAAGTGCATCTGTATTGTGTGTTGCCCGAGGAGGTCAGAAGAGAGCATTGGTGGAACTGGAGTTATGGATGGTTGTTAGCTGCCATGTGAGTGCTAGGATTCAAACCCAGGTCTTGTACAAGAACAGTCTGTGTTCCTAACTGCTGAGCTATCTTGCCAGCCCCTATTTTTGTATTTTATGTGTATAAGTGTATTGCCTACATGTATGTAAGTGCACCCGTGCTGTGCAATGCTCACAGATGTCAGAGAGGGTGTTGGATCCACTGGAACTGGAGTTAAGGATGGTTGTTAGCTGCCATGTGGGTGCTGGGAATCAAACTTGGGTCCTCTGCAAGAGCACCCAGTGCTCTTAACCGCTGAGCCATCTCTCCAGCACCTCCATTTTATGTTTTGTTTCTATCCTCATCAACAGCTTTGTCTCCTGAACTTGTAGTCACCTTGCATGGTATAAGCCTCAGCCTCCTGCCTCCCTGTGGTGACAAAGGGTTGTGTGACTGAAGCCATCTTAAGCAGGCTGTGGCACAACACAGGTGTGCAATGGTTCAGAATCTGGGTGAAGTTGGAGAGAGCATGGCTTATTGGCAGGGTAATTGAAGCCTGTGTTCTTCCCAGAGACCTTCCTGCTGTGGATATGAAGGACAGCAGCTGCCCTCCACAGTGTAGGTATCAAAATGCTTCTGAGGCTGGGTGGGGATGGAACCCCAGGACTATGGATGTCTGGTTGGACTGCTTAGACAACACCCCCCAACAACCCTCCCCCCTCCCCACAGTTCCAGCTGTGGCCCTTGGAGGCCTTCTGGAACCTACTTATCTATTTAGTCGTCTTTAAACTAATGCATTCCATATGTTTAAGTATCTGTAGTACAAATTAGAGGGGAAGAAAAAGCTATTGGGAAACGGGAAGGAGGACGGCTCCTAGTTCCTATGTTTAGTGATTTAGTAAGATTTAGTGTATTTGTTTGTGTTTGTCTGTGTATGTATGTACACATCTCCCTTGAATGTATTTCATTCCAGGACTGTGACTCACAGTAAGAAATGCGGTGATATTGTCATCCAGTGCACACAACCAGTGCATGCACATAGCAGATGAAATTGATGATATCCCACCCTATAAAATAATTTTATATGGTGCAACCTATATATAATGCAAACAAAAGTTTTACACAATACTTAAGCTGAGTGTGGTGACTCATGTGTGTTATGGTAGGACTTAGGAGGTGGAGGAAGTATCTGAGGTTCAAGGTCATCCTCAGATACTTAGTAAGTTCAAAGTTAGCTTGGGATACTAGAGACCTGGTCTCAAAGAAACAAAACAAAACTTAACCTTGGTGTGTGTGTGTGTGTGTGTGTGTGTGTGTGTGTGTAGGTCATAGACAAGTGTTACTTGAGTGTTACTCTTGTGGAACCATCTACCTTGTTTTTTATTTTAAATTTTTTATTATTTTTATAAGTATTTTTACTTTATGTGTATGTGTTTTGCCTGCATATATAAGTGCACCTGGGCATACATACTTCTTTTTTATTACTTGTTTGTGTATACTTTATTTGTGTATACGTGTGGGCGCATGTACATCACAGCATGTGTAGAGGTCAGAGGACAACGTTCAAGAGTTGGTTCTTTCCTTCCATCATGTGGGTTCAGGGGATTGAATGGCAGTTTGAGTGCCTTTACCTACTGAGCCATCTCACTGGCCCAGATTTCTTGTTTGTTTTAAAAATTTATTCATTTGGGGGGACTGGTGGGATGGCTCAGAAAATAAAGGTGTCTGCTGCCAAATCTGATGCCCTGAGCTTGATTCCCAGAACATATATGGAAGGAGACGACTCCCACAAGTTTTCCTCTGATCTCCACATGCACTGTGACATGTATGTACACACAAACATGTACACACATATAAGAAATGTAATAATATAAAAATATTTTTCAATATTTTATTATTTTTATTGTGTATTATCTGAATGTATGTAAGTATACCCATGTCATGCAGTGCCCACAGAGGTCAGAAGAGGGCATCAGATCCCCTGGAACTGTGGGTACTGGAATTCGAACTGGGGTCCTCTACAAGAGCAGTCAGTGCTCTTAACTGTTGGACTATCTCTCCAGTCCCATAAAACAGATTTTATATGTGTGTATAAATGTTTTGCCTATACTTATGTTAGTGCACCACAGGCATGCCTAGTGCCCACAGTGTCCAGAAGAGGATATCAGATGCTCTGGAATTGGGAGTTAGAGACAGCTGTGAACCACTTCATAGGTGCTGGGAACCAAACTCTGGTCTTCTGCAATAACAGTAATTGTCTTAACCACTGAGCCATCTCTCTAGCCCTTAGGCTCTGCTTTTTAAGACATAATCTCTCATTCACCTGGAGCTTGTCAAGTACTGTTGCCTAGGTCACCAGTGAGCCCCAGGTATCTGTCTGTCTCATCCTCCCAGGGCTGGAATTACAAGTATGCACCACCACACCTGGCTTTTTTCTAATACAGGCTCTGGGGATTGAACTCAGATCCTCATGCTTGCAAAGCAAGCACTTTACTGATTAAGCTATCTCCCCAGTCTTTAACCTTATTTTTATTTTTTATATGTATGAGTGTTTTGCCTGTATGTAAGTGTACCTGTTCATGCAATGCCCACAGAGGCCAGAGGAGGGCGCTGAATCCCCTGGAACTGGAGTTAAGGACCATTGTTAGCTGCCATATGGGTGCTGGGAACCAAACCCAGACCCTTTTCAAGAGCAGCCAGTGCTCTTAACCACTGAGCCATCTCTCCGGTTCGTTTTGTTTCTTTGTTCGATGCTCATTATTTTATCCAGGCAAGCTTGGAACTCACCACATAGTGGTCATCCTCCTGTGCTGGACTGTGAGTGCTGGGATTACAGTCCTGCACCACCACACCTGGCTATCTTATTCTTTTAAATGCCAGTTACAGTTTATTAAATTGGTATCACTACCAGCACCATTAATAAATCTCGACCGACTGATCTATCTTCATGACACAGAGGAAAATCAGCCTCTCCTGTCCCATTAAACACACCAGGATACACATAACTTATCACGGGTAGCTTATATTAGCTACTCACTAACCATTATTGTGTCCCAGTCTGAGGTATGAGTACCAACACGAGGGAATATGAATATGGTTTCATAGGCCTAGCAAGAGGCAGATTCCAGATATGAGGGGTTTTGTTTTGTTTTTTTGAGACAAATGTAGTAGCAACCCTCCTTTTTCAGCCTCAAGAGTGCTGGATTACAGATGTGCGCCAACACATCCGACTAGATTTAACGTCGAAGTCTGTGCTATTTTCACTACCTTGGAGCAAAGACTCAGACCCCTGACCCTGACCTTGGACTTTGCAGCCCTCTAGTTCTAACTTTTAAAACTTTTTTCTCTTCGTTTGGGCTTTCCTTGGTTTTCCAGAGGAGGGCGTGAGCTCACATGCACGTGCTCTTGCTCGCTCACTGGCTTAAACTTTCTGTCCCACTACACTGAGGCCTTAGCGCTGCCAGTGGGGGTGCTTAATCTTGGGGACCACCCCCTCTTCCAGCACAGCTGGCAGCTGGAAGTCTTCACCGACCTCCTCCTCTCCGCCCTGCCCCCCATCAGGGATTCTAGGACGACTGTCTCTGTCACTTGGCCTTTTCCAGATGTGCGTCTGTCAGAGACCCCCTCCCCCGCCCCCGCCCCGAGTTTAGAGGATGATGGATGATGTGACCTGGGAGCCAGACTGGTTGGAAAGGGTCGATCCTTTGAAAAGAGAGGGAAAGGGAAGTAGGGCGGGGTAGGGTTGGAGCAGAGTCTCAGGGCGCGAGGAGTCTGAACACCCGCCACTCAAACTCCCTGCGCCTCCAATAACTTTGTCTTCTACAGGAAGGGGTGGGAGAACTCCTCCAAATCTATCTATGCACTGCCTATCCGGAATTGAGGGGTATTTTTCTCATCGACTTCACCCCCCTCCCCCAACTTGGGGGCTCCCCAAGTATTTGTTTCCTTTGCCTCCTCTCGGCAACACTACTCCAGTCCTCTCCTAAGCTTCCTCTCTTCAGGGCCCTCCCCATCTCCCCAGAGCCTCCGATTCAGTGGGGCGGAGCTGCGCCTCCTTCACCAGTTTCTTTAAGGAGTGGCTCCTCCCCTTTAGGAATCGCGGTCTGACGCGGGATGACAGCAGCGAGTTCGGTATGTCTATGCAAATAAGCGGCCCCTCCGGGCCAATGGGGAGCGGAGGTGCCGGAACCGCGGACCAATGGGGCGGGGGCGCTGGGGCTCACCATATAAGGAGCGGCCTCGCCATAAAAGGAAACATTGTATCTCTTTATATGGGGGGAAGGGTCGGGGGATCCCTCCGCCGCCAGCGCGTGGTCCCGGCCCCCTCCACCCGCGGTCTCGGCCGCGGCCAGCAGCCCCTGCCCCCCGGGGGACGCTGACGGCCGCCGGGCGCGCCGCCCTAGCACACGGACAGGGGGCGCTGCGCGCGGCCTGGGGCAACCCGGGCCCCAGGGGCAGGAAAGTGAGGGCCCAGGTCGGCCCGAGCGTGCAGGGGCCCCGGCTTCGCAGCGGCGGCCGTGGCCGCAATAGCCGCTCCAGCAGCAGCGGGAGTGCGGGGTTTCACCGCGAAGCCGATGGCGGCGGCGGCTCGGATCCCTCGCTGACTTGCCGGTCCGCCCTCCTGCATCGAGCGCCATGTTACCGAGCCAGGCTGGGGCCGCGGCGGCTCTGGGCCGGGGCTCGGCCCTGGGGGGCAGCCTGAGCCGGACCCCGACGGGGCGGCCGGGCAGTGGAGGCGGCGGCGGGACTCGCGGGGCGAACGGGGGCCGGGTCCCCGGGAACGGCGCGGGGCTCGGAGCGGGCCGCCTGGAGCGGGAGGCTGTAGCGGCGGCGGCCAGCACCCCGGCGCCCACCGCGGGGGCCCTCTACAGCGGCAGCGAGGGCGACTCCGAGTCCGGCGAGGACGAGGAGCTGGGCGCCGAGCGGCGCGGCCTGAAGCGGAGCTTGAGCGAGATGGAGCTCGGTGTGGTGGTCGGTGGGCCCGAGGCGTCGGCGGCGGCTGCCGGGGGCTACGGGCCGGTGAGCGGCGGGGTGAGCGGAGCCAAGCCGGGTAAGAAGACCCGGGGCCGCGTGAAGATCAAGATGGAGTTCATCGACAACAAGCTGCGGCGTTACACGACCTTCAGCAAGAGGAAGACCGGCATCATGAAGAAGGTACCCAGCTGGAGGCTTGGCGGGGCCACTGGGGACCCCGAGGGTGGGTGCGCGCAGGGGGAGCCCCGGAGCTTGGAGGTGAGAGGCAGCCAGTCCGCAGGAGGTGTGTGGGAGGGGATGGCTGGACCCCGGCAGGGCGAAAGGGGAGGGGCCGCCAGGGAAAAGTGGGGAGAGGGGAGATGCGGCGAACGTCCGGAATTGAGGGGGAAAGGCGCCGGGTTGGGAGTGACCTGACCGGTGCGCGGGAGAAGCAGGGCCGTGATGCTGGGGTGAGCGGAGGGCCATCAGGGAAGCGGATACCCAGATGCGGAGGGCAGCAGATCCATGGAGGAGGGCGGTGGAAAAGCGGGGAGCCAAGAGAAGGTTTGGGGGGTGAGGAGGCTGGGTGGAGTTGGATAACAACCGTGAGCCAGCTTGTGTGGGAGGAAGGTGGGCATCACTGGAGTTGTGCGGGCTTGAAGGGCAGGCAGGGTTAGGGACCAGGTGAGCGAGCAGAGCGGGAGAGCTGTGCTGCTTTGAGTAGCTAGCTGGGAACAAGTCCCGCCCTGGCCATGTGTCTTCTGTTGCTTTCTCAGGAAATCTGCTGCCCGCAGGACTGGCTGCAGAGTCGCCGGCCTTTGGGACAAGTGGCGTTTCCAGCTCTAGGGCAAATCAGTGTGTGGAGTTTGGGGGAAAGTCAGGAAGATTTGTAGCGATATCAGGAAATTATTCCTTGGGCAAGCAATATCCTGTAAAAAGTGGTGAGGAAAGGGGTAATCTTGGGGTCTGGGAGAGAGAGGAAGGAATGGCAGCAGAGGACTTGGGAAACAACCTACGACCTTGGGAACCAAAGTTTTTATCTGTTCCGTATAGAAGCTTGTACTGATTCCAAGGTGGGTTGTGGACCCCTCACTTGGGCTCATGGCAGAGTTTTGGGTGCAAACTTGGTTCCCATCACTTTGGACGCACTGGTATCAGTATCCTTTGAGCATCCATGGAGAAGGTTTTGGAAGAAGGTTGTGCCTTCCTTCCTTCTTTCCCAGGACAAAGGAAGAGGACAGTCCAGTATTACAGGGCAGAAGAAGTTAGTCTATGGCAACAGGTTAGAGCCTGAGCAGTTTTTGGCAGGAAACATGGGGTAGCTTGGCCGTTATCACTAATGTGATGTGTGAATTCCAGTATGGTAGGGATCTCCCTCTGTTCCTGTGACAGTGAGGGGAGTGGGCCACTGTAAGTTCTGTAGAGCATGCTGTGTTAGGGAACAGCTAGACTGGGTCCCTCTGTGTCCCTTTGCGGTTAGATGCTCCATCCCTAGTGGAGGCTATGACTGTTTGTTTGGGGTTTCTGCAGTCAGTGGGACTGCCCCTCGAAGGACACGGGTGGTTTTTCTATTCCCAGCTCACCTTCAGATATCCAGATAGGACCCTGCTAGAGTCACCAGAGATGAAGGTCATTATAGAAGTGGGGGGACTGGAGATCATTGTGTAATTCTTCTCTTTCATCCTCCCTGAGGAAGGTAGAGAGGAAGAAGTTTGGCTGACCTGCCCATCTCCCTCCCCACCCCCCAGGCCTATGAACTGTCCACGCTGACAGGGACACAGGTGCTGTTGCTGGTGGCCAGTGAGACAGGCCATGTGTATACCTTTGCCACCCGCAAACTGCAGCCCATGATCACCAGTGAGACCGGCAAGGCACTGATTCAGACCTGCCTCAACTCGCCAGACTCTCCACCCCGTTCAGACCCCACCACAGACCAGAGAATGAGTGCCACTGGCTTTGAAGAGCCAGATCTCACCTACCAGGTGTCGGAGTCTGACAGCAGTGGGGAGACCAAGGTGTGTTGTTTGGGTCACCTATGTAAAGGGAGGGAAAGAAAGGGTCCCTGTCTCTCCTTTGCCCAGTACAGGTAAATAGGTGTCCTCAGTGATGTGGAGTGGAGCCAGGTTAGTGTTTCTTATCCTAGGGGACAGGTGTCCATCCTCCATTCTTGACAGGAGGCCGTCCCCCTAGATAAGCGGGCGGCCTCCGTGCCCATATAAGGCCGGCTCGGGCTCCACGCCGGCCTCCCGCCCGCAGCCCGCCTGCCTGGCAGGGCCTTTGCATTCCTCCCGCCAGCTGTCTACCCGCTGGGGGCGGGGGTGTAGCTTAACCCTGCCCTCCTGGCAGGCTGGGTAGCTGGGGAGTAAGAAGGGAACACCCCGGGCCCAGGGTCCTGGGAACCCAGCACTGTTGGCAAGTGGACTGTCAGACTGGGCGGCGGGGGGGGGGTACCTTACTAGCCAGCCTCATGTGCTTGTCCAGGATGCCGGGGCCTGGGCAGTTAAAGCATTCCCCTGCTGCTAGGGATGCCGGCCCTAGTGGCGCCTCCCCCTTCCTTTTCCCGGTAAGGAGAGGGGGCGGGGCTTCCTGCTTGCTGCCTGGGGAGCTCCACCTTCCGGGTGGTGTCCCTTAGCTAATCGACCAATGGAAGGAAGCGGCACTGTTTGCCTTAGCAACGCCTCTACCAATCAAAGGCCTTGATACCAGTTGCTTAGCAAACATCCCCAGGCTGACCCATCCCCGGCTTTTTGAATCCCCTGCTTGACTGAGTCAGATCTAGGCTTGGTGACTTGATTCTCAGCTCCTGGCTTCTTCCTAACTCTTCTAAGAACCTTGGCCCTCTGAGGAGAGAGTCAGTGCTCCAGGTTCCCCCTTCTGTAGTGGCCTGTCACCTGCAATCATTTTCAGACGTTTGTATGCTTCATAGGCACGTGGGTAAATCCCTTGGTTGCTTGTCTCTGGCATTTGACATAAAGTGCTTCATTGTCAGGCCTTCATGATCTCTCTAATACCCCAAGTTCCCCAAAAATCTCGGTCCTTGTCTTAGAACCTAGCAGTTCATAGCTGTAAGAACCCTTTTATAGAGAACCTAAACCCAGCCCTCTCATGTTTGTAGAAGAGGTAAATTGAGGCTCATTAAAAGAAAGTAATTATCTCAGGGTGACCCAGGCAACCATTGCTGGAACTAGAAACAGTCCCTGGATGAGATTACTACAGTCCATTGGGACAGAGAACTCTAAGAATTTTCAGTATAAAAGCAACAAATATTTATTTTGGTCTTGTTATTAGCCAGGTACTATTCTGTAAGTGGTTTTAGGTAACCTGTTTAATCTTTCTAACAACCTCTGGGGTGTAGATGGTATTATCATTTATTTATTTGTTTATTATTTAATTTTTGTTTTAAATTTTGTTTGAGACAGGGTCTCACTCTGTATCCCAGGCTGGCCTAGAACTCACTGTGTAGACCAGGCTGGCCTTGAACTCATGGCAATCCTCCTGTCTCAGCCTCCTAAGTGCTGGGATTCCAGGCCTGTGCCACCACGCCCAGCAACAACTCCATGACTTTCATGGTGCAGGTAATGGTAAAACTGGGATTTGAACTGAAACACACTAATTTCAGCCTGAACTCTCACTTCACACAAAGCTGCTACAGGGGTAAGGTCTGGCAGAAGCTTACTGCTCCGTCTTTACTCTGGGTATAGGACACACTGAAGCCAGCGTTCACAGTCACCAACCTGCCAGGTACCACCTCCACCATCCAAACAGCACCCAGCACCTCTACCACCATGCAAGTCAGCAGCGGCCCCTCCTTCCCCATCACCAACTACCTGGCACCAGTGTCTGCTAGTGTCAGCCCCAGCGCTGTCAGCAGTGCCAACGGGACTGTGCTGAAGAGTACGGGCAGTGGCCCTGTCTCCTCCGGGGGCCTTATGCAGCTGCCTACCAGCTTCACCCTCATGCCTGGTGAGTCACAGGGGGCAGGGAGAGATTTCTTCTCTCTGGGGCAAATTGAGCATGCAAGGGCTGGCATCAGGAGACCCTCTTTCTTTGCTCAGAAAGAGGGTGAACAGAGGTTAGAGCCAGAGAGGTCTCTTAGGTCCCATTGGAAGATAAGCTTTGCCCACTGAGAGCCCTGCTATTGGTATAGTGCATTTGAACTCAGCTGTTGGTCTTGTCTAGCTTGCCCAGCCTTGCATCTCTATTACCATGGAGACAGTAGATAGTCCACTAATTCCCTATTGCGACTGGAAGGTATTTGATGGTTGGCTAGCTCGTGGGTCATTTGAAGAAGGTAGAGGCAAAGCCTGGGGCAGGCAAAGAGGGACGTCATTGGAGAGCTGATTCAGAGCATGAAGGACGCTTTTTGGCTCCCAGGGAAGATAGTGATGGGAGTTGGGGACCAGTATGCCAGACCCCGGGACTAGGTTACTCAAGCATGTTTGGTGAAGGTGGCATTGTGCAGGATGGAGCCCAAGTAAGACACTCTGTCTTATAGGTGGGGCAGTGGCCCAGCAGGTCCCCGTGCAGGCCATTCAGGTGCACCAAGCCCCACAGCAAACGTCTCCCTCTCGTGACAGCAGCACAGACCTCACGCAGACCTCCTCCAGCGGGACAGGTATAACTTGCATCCTTGTCACCCTCTGCCCTGCCTTCCCACAGGAAGCCTAGCAATAAGTGCTCAGCAATGTCTCTCCTGTACTGAAGGTCAGGGAATTTCCTAAAGTAGAAACAGGCTTTGGGACTCATCTTTGGGAAAGTCAGGTGAGCATGGCTGGGTTTTGAATCCTGCTCTGCAGTGGGGGTAAGGAATTCAGGAAGAAATTAGGAAACCCTGTTTATTGGCCCAAAGACACAACCTTTGGTGACTAACCAGGAAGCAGCTGTCCGTGCTGTTGTCTCCTTATGGGTGCTGTAGGTTTTGAGTAGCTCTCATTCCCATCAGATGTCTTTTGTTATTTCAGAAATGATAAGATACTCTTAAAATGACATCTAAGTTACTGTTAGTCCAACCTCATTACACAGTGTGGTCTAGGGACTGAACACCAGCATCACCTGAGAACTTGTGGAAATACAGAGTGTCAAGTGTCACCTCAAACCTGTTGAGTCGGAATCTGCATTTTAACAAGATTCTTATGTAACGTAACTGTGTGCACATTAGCATTTGAGAAGTGCTGCTTTCAGAGATGAAGTTGTTCAGTGTGAATTTAGGAAGAGAGGAGCAAAGCAAATCAAAAAACGACAGCGGATTTTTCTAGAAGAGTGTCTGAATTTCCTAGGAGTGGATTGGTTCCCAGGGTCTGGGAACAGAGAACTCAATGGATAGACAACCCAGTAGTATAAAGTGATTGGAACTGTTGTGTTGAGAGAAAAAAGGTTTGGGTTTTTTTTGTTTTTTTAGTTGATGACAGGGAACAAAGAAACAGACCTTTGTCAAACTTCTGACCCAGGACATAGCAAGAAGGCCCTGGAGGCTGGAATCCTGGGGCGGGAGGGGCGATATCAGTAGGGAGCAGCTCCCTGATGTGTGTCTGTGTTTTCCAGTGACGTTGCCCGCCACCATCATGACGTCGTCAGTACCCACAACTGTGGGTGGCCACATGATGTACCCTAGTCCCCATGCAGTGATGTATGCCCCCACCTCGGGCCTGGCTGATGGCAGCCTCACCGTGCTCAATGCCTTCTCCCAGGCACCATCCACCATGCAGGTGTCCCACAGCCAGGTCCAGGAGCAAGGTGAGGGAAGGGCCAGGGCTGAAGAAAGGAGGACCATTTCTTCCCTTTTACACACACTCAGATGTCCCCCACCCCTACACTGAGATACACACACACACACACACACACACACACACACACTCACTCACTCAGATGCCCACACATGCACTCGATAACCACACTTGCTCACTTGGACACTCACGCACACTTCAGCCCTCACACCACAGGCACCCTCACCCATTGGGTGAAACACTTTGGGGCACTCACCCTTGGGCATTGATGTCTAAGGCTCACCAATCACTTGTATATTTTAACACTGCTCTTTCAATATCAGAGCTTCCTCCTGAGCAAACAAATGACTGTATCTCCCATGCTTTCCGGTGCAGGTGGTGTCCCCCAGGTGTTCCTGACAGCACCATCTGGGACGGTGCAGATCCCTGTTTCTGCAGTTCAGCTTCACCAGGTAAGTGGGGGGTGGGGGGGGCTGTCACCCCATCCCACACAGCCAATTCATCTTCCCTAGTCCAGGGGCCCAACTGTTTCTGCTCCCACCCATGGCTGGTGGGTAGGCCTGCAGAGGGAGCCTGAGCTGGCTGGCCCATCCTCCTGCCTGCCTTCCTCACATTCCTCCTTCCCTCCAGATGGCTGTGATAGGGCAGCAAGCTGGGAGCAGCAGCAACCTCACCGAGCTACAGGTGGTGAACCTGGATGCCACCCACAGCACCAAGAGTGAATGATCCGCCCGCCGCCCTGGACAGATGGCCCAAGGGATGGCACCACTTATTTATTGTTGCCTTTTCACGTTTTCTTTACACACATGTTGACGGGCCGCAGGAGGGAGGCGGGGAGAAGAAGTGGGCAGCCACAGGACTATGCCCTCTCACTCCAGCCAAAGAAATGGGCCTGCCTGCCCTCCACCTATCTTCCCTCACCCTCCTCTCCTTCCTGCCCCACCTATCATTGCTGTTGATGGTGGGGCTGTCCTCCCTCAGACTCCCCTTGCCAGCTTGGCTCAATGTTTGCCATGAGTATTAGCTTACCCAATGGGACTGTGCCCCACCTTCCCACTCATGGGCCTTCTGTGGGACTGGGCACTGTGTTCTCCCCCTGGGGAAGTGGTTGGGACCCTCTCTCCAGCCTCTTTGCTGACCCCAGGTTAGCGCTATGTCTGCCACAGGCTGGGTCAAAAGAGCACTGCCCCCATCCCTCAGGGAGCCAGCTGGGGAGATGGGGGCTTTTTCCCTCATGCCGCTGCCCTCTGCCCCATCAGCTCCTGAGTAGCAGCTGGGCCTGTGCACTGGGCAGGTAGCTGGGGCCACCTGCCTTGCCTTGCCGCTCCTATGAACCTCCTGGGGCTCTTGGGTTGGAGGGAACTATCAGCGTTCTCTTCTTCCCCCTTGTCTTCCCCCACCCCCCAGCTGCTTTACTTAAAAGTTGATTTTGAACTTTTTATTTGAGGAGACGAAGTGAAAACAAATCTATAAATATATATTTTTAAAATATTTAATTTTTTT